GAGAGAGAGAGAGGGAGAGTTGTGGGTTTCCAGGTCTGCGACCCACACAACAGTACAACGGGAAGACCTTACTAGCCTACTTTATTATTACATTCAAAGAGTTTCCCTCCATGTCTAATGATCATGAATGCAATCTCAAATAACAGTTGTATTATGAGTTGGCAATCAACCTTCAACAGGTCTGGCCCATCCATGCATCTAAAGTACCTATTTTTGAATTATAAAATATTCCCAGCAAGTTTTGTTAACACAACAACAAGGGGAAGCCCAATATTTGTTTTTGATGGATCTCAGAATAAATACTCAAACATAATGCTTTTGTAATTACTATCATTGTTATGTTGTGACTGGTATGTATGGTCAATTTAATCCCACAGCATATGAAAGTCCCACCATATAGACCTCGATCTTCTTTAAATAAAGGATGTTAGATCTCTTTATCATAAGGATATGAGTCAAAATGTAGTGTCTTTAGCACCTAGGTTCTCTTCTTAATAGCACCCCAACCTTTTCTATGAAGGAATATTTGCATATGTCCTTTACAAGTCAATGAATAGGCTCCCAAGTTTCTACCTTCAATTCTCTAACTTCTTTCAGTTTATACATGGTATCAGAGCCATGTTCCATTATGCGCTGTTTTGAGTCGCTGAGTTTCTTGCCTGACATATAGCACACAGCATTAAAAATACATAATGAGCGAACATATAATAATATCATTTATCTTGTGCACATAAAAGGTCACAATCACTAGCCGCCATTGGTGGAATCAAGCAGCAGGGGCCATATCAGTGTTTGATTAAACGACTCGGGCCTAGAACTCGGCCCATGCCCGAGCCAAGTACTCAGCCCGAGTTGGGCAGAGTATTGTTCAAGCTAAAAAATGTCTAGGAAAATTAAAAGATACAAAAAAATTAAAAAAATAAGAAAAATATGTTTTTATTTTTTATTTTGATGATGTTAACCTTTGATTTAAGAAAAGAGAGTACAAAAACCTTGGCTTACCACAAAAAAGGTGCTCAAGGATAGGAAAACGAAAAAGAGTAGTGGAATCAAAGCTTCTTTCGAAAAGTTACTGTTAAAGGGCAGCAACCTAAGAAAAGAGGCCGATCCATCATACAAGAAGAGAAGAAGAGATCTTCTAGAGTCCATCCACCTCCACTGCTGCTTTTGCAAGGGAATCAGCTTCCTGGTTTCCTTCCCTCCAGGTATGCATATTCCTGCAGAGGTAATGAACCTGATCAACTGAATGAGCCAAAAACCAGGAGGGGAGGTTGCAGGGTTTTGTGCCCAAGTTATGGTGTTCGTGGAATCACCCTCGACAATGAGAGAGGGCAAGTTAAAATGTTGGATCAGTTGTAAGCCTTCGAGAAGAGTTGTCACCTCAGCCTCCATCAAATCTTTATGCCCTATGAATTTAGACACTGAAGCCATAGTAAAACCAAGGTGGTCTTTGAGGATAGCTCCAATTCCTGACGGCCCTGGGTTACCTAGGGAACAACCGTCTAAGCTGAGCTTGAGCATCCCCTGAGGTGGTGGTTTCCAGTGAGAAGATCTAGAAGAGCAATGGATATAATGGCGTAAGATGCTGCTCCAATCTTGATGAAAGGTGGAGGCCGGTATGCCTTTGAATCGAGGGTCATTCATAGCCCAGAAAATTATGGAGGATTTGAGCTTATTGAAAATTTTGGGCCAAGCCCCTCTGAAAATCTTGTGGTTACGCTCTATCCATAAGCCCCATATAGATGCAGCCACCACTAATTCCGAGAGAATGATCCCTGATTTGGCCCAAGGAAAAGGCTTGATGGATGAGAGAATCAAACTCACTTCTGCAAGCAATACCCATTCCACTTTGAACAATTTGAGGACTACTCCCCAAAGGTTGAAAGCGTAGGGACAGTGCAGGAATAAGTGGTTGTTAGTTTCCTCCTTAGCTAAACACAAGACGCATCGATTGGGAATGGGGATGCCACGTCTCTGTAATTGATCAACAGTTAGTACTCTCTTAGAGAGGGCTAGCCACGAGAAGACCCTGATTTTTGGGGGAGCTAAGGAGTCTCAGGCCTGTGCTACAACAGATGTGGTGCTAAGGGAAAGGTGGGGGGTAGCGACAAACTGCGATAAAAGGAGGAGATCGTGAAAAAGCCTCCCAGTGAAGGAGTCCAAAAGATGCGATTTGGACCCGCAAGGGCTAACAAATAGGTATGAAAGTCAACCGATAAAGTGGCAAAACTCGAAAGTTCTGAGTCGTTAAGGGTTCTCCTGAAAACTGGGTTCCAAGAGCGAGAATTCCTCATCAAAAGCATTTCTTGCACCACCGTTGTCCTTTGATCTCTAGCGAGAAGGTAGAGATCAGGGTATTTATCCCTAAGAGGAGAGTGGCCCAACCAGAGATCGTGCCAAAAAAGGATTCTGTTCCCAAATCGCGGATGGAATCTGATGCAAGGTTTAAGGGATAGACCTCCAGAAACCAAAGGCCTTATTGTTAGCTCTGAAATCAGAGAGCTAGGGAGAATCGTGAAGACGGTACTTAGTTTTGATGATGTTGATCCATAGTTGGCTCCTTTGGGTGACCAGGCACCAACACCATTTACCAAGTAGGGCTAGATTCTGAGTACCCAGTGTTTTGATTCCCAGGTTGGCAAAGCTTTTCCTAGGCGATGAAGTCAAATTTATGATCGAAGTCAGCCCCTGACCAAAAGAACCTCCTCATCAATTGTTCGATCCTCTTACTAATGGTGAAAGGCATGTGAAAGATGGACATCTGGTAGACTGGTATGTTGGCCAGAGTAGCTTTGATAAGCGTAAGCCTTCCTCCTGGGGATAGAAACCTCCCCTTCCAGCCTACTAGTGTACGGTCCACTTTGTCCACAATGGGAGACCACAAACTTTTATTGGGTTTTCCTATGTAGAGAGGAAGACCTAAATATTTGGAAGGTAAAGCTTCCTTTCAACAACCCCACATTTCAGCAAAGGAGGTAATTGTGGTGGAGTCAACGTTTATCCCCATCATAGTAGTTTTATCGTAATTTACTTTGAATCCAGTAGCGAATTCAAAGCATCTGAGGAATAGGGAAAGCTTGTGGATTTCCTTGAGAGAGGCATTACAGAACACTAGGGTATCATCTACATATAAAAGACGGGAAACAAGGGGGACCCCTAGTCCTATAGAGAAGCCGTGTAAGAGGTCTGATGAGTACATTTTGTCGATTGATCAACTGAAAACCTCTGCGGAGATGGCGAAAAGAAAGGGGGAGAGGAGGTCCCCTTGTCAGAGTCCTCTGGTGGAAGGAAAAAACCCTTTAGGTTTGCCATTGATAAGGATTGAGAAATGAGGGTGAGAGTAACAAGCTCTCATCCAAGTTCTCCACCAAGCACCGAAACCCATCATAGATTGAGTTTCTTCTAGGATTTCCCAATCCACATAATCATATGCTTTTTCCCAATCAAGCTTTACTATGATGCCAGGGTCTTGTTAAGATGTCTGGAGTGGATGCATTCATGAGCCACTAGAGCTCCATCCAGGACTTGACGGTCTTTGATGAAGGCACATTGATTGGGGGATATGACTAGGTGCAAGACTTCTTTGAGATGAGAGGCGAGCACTTAGCGAGGAGTTTGTAGGAGTTAACCAAACTTATAGATCTGAAATCTGTGAGTTGTTTTGCACCTTGGATTTTGGGCACCAGAGTTACATAGGTTGCATTCATGGCTCGGTGGATAACCCCATTACAATGGAATTCTTCGAAGAGGTTTAGGAAATATTGTCGAAAGGACTCCCAAAAAGTCTTGAAAGGAGCCAGGGGGAATCCGTCTAGTCCGGGGGCTCTATTTGAGTCCAAATCAGATACAACAGCTAGAATTTTGGATTCGAAGAAAGGTCTTTCTAGCCAAAACACTTTCTCTAGAGGTAAGACAAGGAATTCTAGATCCCACATTTGGGTGCGAGGAGACGAGGGAGTCGAGAAGAGATTTTGAAAGTAGCCAAGGATGGCTTGCTCTATAACTGGGGGATGATCTAAGAGGATTCCATCCACCAACAGCTGTGAGATTGCATTATCCCTTCGCCTACAGTTTGTTGTTCGGTGAAAGAAAACTGTATTTAGGTCCCCTGTTTTCAGCCACTTTATTCTAGATCTCTGGTACCCGTAAATTTCCTCTTTCTTGAGAAGAGATTGGTATTGAAGCTTTAGGCCATCCCTCTCTTGAATTTCGGGATCCGAGAGAATCCTATTTTCTTCCAAGTTGTTTAAGGCCTGGATGGCATGCAAAGTGGAAGTTTTCTGGGGTCCAAGGAACCCCGGAGGTTCCGACTCCAAAGTTTCAAATGGCCCTTGAGTAACTGTAGTTTTTGCTACTGTTTAAAGCCAACCCAGCCGACTACCATATGAGAGAGCTCCTGCCACCAAGTCGGGAGTTGGGTTGAAAGAGAAGGTTCTTCTAGCCAAGCTAATTCAAATCTGAAAGGTTTTGGGCCACTAGGAGAAGGGTAAATAAGAAACATATGTTTCAAGTAAATTAAACAAAACTATTCCAAATGAAGTTAAGAAAGTAGTGAGAAAATAGATTTTGAAAAAATCAATTCGTGATCGGGGGTAGTTTTGAAATAATCCAAAAAGAAAGGAGAATGAACAAGTAAATATTCATGGCCAAAATACTTTCCAATCTTCACGAAAATGATAGAACACATAAAAAAATATGTTACAAATAGATTTCCTTTTTTTTCAAATTTTTTGTAGTTTTTGTAATTCTTTTTTAAGATCCCCGAGTTGGACCCCAAGCTCGGGGATACTCGGGCTCCCTAGGGTGGTGAGCCCAAGTAAAACTAGGCCCGAGTACTCGAACATAAGGGCATACCATTAACCACATTCATAGTATGAGAAAATCGTCCTCAGACTTTATGTGGGGAAATGACACACCCCAAATGTTTGAGTTTACATCTGACAGCTTGAGGTGCTTTTGACTTTTGTGTATGAAAGGTGAAGGTCTCATTGTATTCAGGCCCAATACACAATGGGTGGGAACAAAACCATTCAGCAATTATGAATATTCATATCTCACATGTTAGATGCTACATAAGGAATGCGTATAAACCATCAAGCACAAGGATACACATGGAATGGTTAACATCCTTCTATAGCAGCTTCAACAACAACAATGACAATAAAAGCAAGAATGAAAATAGTCAAAACATGAATTATATGAAGTTAAATGATATAGGGTTCCATTACAGGAAGGTTACAGTATCTGAACAAAATGTAATTTGCAGCGCCCACACGTGAGGTCGGGGGGATGACATTCTTTCCGTTCTCAGCTTGCAAGCTCTTCAAATCAACACTGAAAAATTGATCAAAAGAATGGGGGGAAAGAACCAAAACTGAAATGAATAAGAATCACCCATTTGTCATAAATGTGAAAAACTCATGTGCAAAACGCCAAGAATACTTAACCAAACAAAATATACAACATAATAGAAAATAATGAATCCTTTAGCATGCCTTCGAAAGTGAAAAATGCCGGCAAAGAAAAGAAGAATAACGCAACCGAACAAATAAAATAAACTGGAAATACTCAAAGAAATAGAGAAAATAAACAATGATCAATCAATCACCCACAAATTGGAATAAGAATCACAGATGAAAAATTAAAAACTTGTGAAAAATAACACCAAAACCAGCATGGGAAATGATAAAACACATAGCAAAAAGGGGAAAAAAAAGAAAGAAAGAAAACAAAACAGAGAACCCAAAGAACAATATTAACAAAATTCATAGAAGAGTGAAAGAAAACCCAGAAAAAAATAAAGATAAAAACTAGAGAGACCAACAAATGACATCAACAAAGTTCATAGAGGAAGTGAACAAGAACCCCACCTAGTGCAAAGGAAGAAAGTTCGAACAGGGATGAATCGATTTCGCTCCTCCTGCCTAGGCTCTGAGCCTTTCAGTTTAGCTTCTTCTATACAATTTTTTGAATCCCCAGCTTCCAGTTCTCTCTCAGAAGCATCATTAACTGAAGGTTTTGAATCCCCAACTTCCAATTCTCTCTTAGAAGAATCATCAATGGAAGGTTTTGAAACCCCAGCTTCCAGTTCTCTTTCATGAATATCAAAAATGGTGGAAACAGTGGATGAAAACCTCAGATCATTTAGCTTTGAAAATCCCCAACTAGAAATGGTGGTCTTTTGAAGGTGTTGCAGAAGCGATGGACCTTGACCAGTGGGCTTCAACGGAGGTAGCCGAATTGTTGAGGAGTGGTGGTGGTTTAGAGAGAGAAACACGCTTCTGATGTTTCTCCAAGCCATTGACGTTAGTTCTCTAAAGCTCCATATGGGAGTCCGTGTTTCTCACTCTAAAACATTTGGCCGTGTTTGTAATGCCTGAAACTTTTGAAGTTCTCTCTATTTTCTTCACTATGGACTCCTACTACAACAGTGTAAAAATAGTTATTCAAAATTAAAATTAAATATTCTATTTGATCTAATGCGAGGTGTAAAACAAAATCGAAATAAAAAAATTAGAATGTAAGACCTGAACAAAATGTAGAAAAAATAAAATTTAAATTTAAGATTTTTTGCTTTGACTAAAAGTTAAAAACCAATGGTTTAAAAAGGGGATCGGTGATTCGGATTGGGCACCTCAAAAATCGATCTTGATCGACGAATTGGCGATCCGGATCGAGAAACTCGGAATCGCCACATAACCATTCTGACACGTGCAACAAGCGGACACGTGCACACGGACATGTGCGACAAAATCACGTGTGAGGTTGCCCCAATGTTTCCGCGCGAGTGCCTTAGTTCATAGTACATAGGTATTTATATACCAAAGTTGAATACCCATCTTTCGATGTAGGATAATTCCCAAACATCATTAAACAAAAACCAAATGTAAATATATTTTATTAATCAACAATTTATGTAGTTTTTGTTGTATAAAAAAATGAAAAATAAAAAAGTTATTTAGTTGTATAGTAGTTTTTGTTGTATATAGTAGTATAAATATTTTTGTAAATAATATAAAAAGCATAAAAAATGGAAATTAAAAAAGTTAATTTTTTGTATGGTACTTAATTTTTGTTATATATAGTGGTATAATTATTTTTGTAAATAATATGAAAGGTATAAAAATATAAAAAATAAAAAGTTTATTCTATTTGATATCTCCATCTTTCTACTAACAATCTCTTTCACTAAATTTATTATAGAAACCTAAAAAAATAAATTTTTGAAAAATTGAAGTGTTATTTTCAAAATTTATACGTATTTTATTAATTTTTACATTGATAACCAAATCTTTTATTTTATTTATTAAATTTTACATTATAAATCATGTAATGTACTATTTTTCTTACAGTTGTCAATAATACATTTTAATTAGATAATTTTATAAATTTTTTTAATTTGTTATTATTTGTCTAATAAAATAATTATAAAATCTAAACTAATAATTATAATTTCAGTATATAATATTATAATTAATTAGGTTGTAATGATTTTGGATTATAGTTAGTTAGGCTGTAATAATTTGGGGTTTTTTAGCGGATTAGGGTTTTTTGCCAAAACGATATTTTAATGGTCGTTCTTTACTCTTTATTATAGTCCATGTATAATTATATATTTTATCCATGACAATTCTATGATTTTTCTTTTATGTGATGCAAATTTAGTACTTAAGTTTATACAAGAGCATCTCAATATTCACAAATTGATGAAAAAAATGAAAGTTAATAATGTAGTACCCTCATTTTTTATTGGATTTCTAAAAAATAATATTTATAACGAATTTTGATAATTTTTTCGGATTTTTTTAAGCTTTAATCTGATCTATTCAGGCAATTTCCGATCCGGATCGCCGATTCGCTGATCCGGCTCGATTTTTGAAGTGCCTGATCCTGGTCATCGATCCGCTTTTTAAACCATTGGGTTGGATCAATGGTTTAAAAAGCGGATCGGTGACCCAGGCAACTCAAAAATAGATCCGGATCGGCGAATCGACGATTCGGATCGGAAATCAGCCGAATAGGTTGGATTAAAGCTTCAAAAAAATCCGAAAAAATTATTAAAATTCATTATAAATGTTGTTTTTTAGGAATCCAATAAGAAAGAAGAGTACTACATTATTAACTTTCATTTTTTTCATCAATTTGTGAATATTAAAATGCTCTTTCCCTATATAAACTTATGTATTAAATTTGCATCACATAAAAGAAAAATCACAGAATTATCATGGATGAAATATATAATTATACATGGACTATAATAAAGAGTATACTAAATCAATGAAAGAATGGCCATTAAAATCTCGTTTAGGCGAAAAACCCTAATCCGCTAAAAAAACCCAAATTATTACAGCCACACTAACTATAATCCAAAATTATTACAACTTAACTAATCATAATATTATATACTGAAATTATAATTATTAGTTTATATTTTATAATTGTTTGATTAGACAAATAATAACAAATTAAAAATATTTTATAATATTATCTAATTTAAAATGTATTATTGACAACTATAAGAAAAATAGTATATTACATGATTTATAATGTAAAAATTAATAAATAAAATAAAAGATTTGGTTATCAATGTAAAAATTAATAAAATGCGTACAAATTTTGGAATAACACTTCAATTTTTCAAAAATTTAATTTTTTAGGTTTCTATAATAAATTTAGTGAAAGAGATTATTAGTAGAAAGAGGGAGATTTCAAATACAATAATTTTTTTATTTTTTATTTTTTTATGCCTTTCATATTATTTACAAAAAATAATTATACCACTATATACAACAAAAATTAAATGCTATACAAAAAATTAACTTTTTTTTTCATTTTTTTATGCCTTTTATATTATTTACAAAAAGATTTATACCACTATATATAACAAAAACTACTGTACAACATATATACAACAAAAACTACAAAATATACAACAAGAAGGGGATTCGACCTTGGGACAACAAAGGCAAAAACAGAAATCATAACCATCACACCGTCTCACTGGATATGATTATTAGTTGCTGATTAATAGAATATATTTACATTCTTTTTTCATTTTAATGTGCTTGGGATTTATCACACAACGAAAGATGGGTATTCAACTTTGCTTTATAAATACCTATGTAATATGAAGTAAGGTATACACATGGAAATATGGGGCAACTTCACACGTGGTATGTGGCACGCGATTTTGTCACATGTGTCCGCTTGTCGTTTAAAACCGCTCAGTTCTCTCTAGACACGGGCGGTTCTCGACTCGGTTTTTTTTTAAACCTTGTTTAAAACAATTGTTAGGGCATTTTTAGATAAGTTTATATAAGGCCTAGGCTTTATGAAAACAAAATAAAACCTCACCTCAAATCCTCATATAGAGAGTAATTTTGGCATTGAAAATCTTCATGATGGCTCTAAAATCAATTTGTTAGGAAATTTTTAGATAAGTTTATATAAGGCTTAGGCTTTATGAAAACAAAATAAAACCTCACCTCAAATCCTCATATAGAGAGTAATTTTGGCATTGAAAATCTTCATGATGGCTCTAAAATCAATTTGCTCCATCGACAGTAAATTGTGAAACTTAAAAAATAGTGTAGATTTGTGAACACTTATTTTTAGTTCGAAATGGATGGTCTAGATAATTTGTTACAATAGACATTATTTTTAGAATTTGGAATCTTAATTTCTTTTTACAAACATAGTATTCCAGCTGAGATGGTCGATTTAAAAGTTTTCCAGCACTTAAATTGCAATTTTCGATTAGTTCTGCAATTTTCGATTAGTTCTAAGGTGATGCTTTACTTATTTTGATAGGGCTGCAGCCCTATAAAACCATTTTCCTTTGGGATCATGGTGATAGAAATATTTTAGGACACATTTGAATACATTGGATAAAAATGAGAGAGAAATTAAAAAATATATAGTTTTGGATTAAATAAACCGCAAAAATTTGAACTCTCAAACTCTTGTATTCCAAATTTAGATCCAATAAATTTTTATGGAAATCTATTGGGAGAATCCTATGCCAACATTTTAAATCAATTCTAAGATGATTTGGTTACGAAATAAGAGAGATTGTAAAAAAGCAGGTTGGGCTTTGGGGCTAAAAAATTGGTTGATTTTTTGAAAAAATCTTGCCCAAATGCAATTTAATAATAAAAAAATTGATTTGCCGGGGCTAACATGGGTGGATTTGGGTTCAAACCATCAATGGAGCTTGGATATGGATTAAAAGTTGTTAAAAAACATTAAATTTTTTCATAAAAAAAAAAAATTCATTTTCCTTTTTCTCCTGAAAACATAAAAAAAGGCACCTAGGCCAACTTGCTTGAGTCTAAGCAAGAACCGACTATGTGCGCGACATCAAAGATTACCGAGTAGGCTTTACAATTTTGAAAAGCTCATTACAAGCAAACAACTAAAAATTTGAAGCCTTATTTAAAAGCCTAGCTCCATGACCGGAACTAGGACTCCAAACTAGACCCCGGTCATATGAGCCCGATTATTGAAGGGAATTTAGCTAATGTTATTTTATGTCGCAAAGACCTTGAGTTTTACTAGAAGAGTCTCTAAACAATCAAATTCGAGCCTACCTCAAAAGTTTTCACTAGAAGAGGTTGTTTGATGCCCAAATATCCTCAAATTCATTATCTCCACATCAAGATGTATGGACATGAGAAAAAAATGGATTTCAAGATTTGGAAATAGTATATTTTATAACGTACTTTTGGATAGTCAATTTTCAAAATTTTCGAGTTTTCATTGATCTCTCAATCTACAGTATTTTTGTAGCTTTAAACTTTATGAATAAAGATGAAAATATATTTTAAGGCTATCAAAAAGATTTTCAATATTAAAACTATATTTCTTGATACTATTTGAAAGTAAGCTCCAATTTGATTGTTTAGAGCCTAGGCGGTTCTATACAAACCATACCGTTAGTCAAATAGCCAAATTGGCAACTATGTTTTACTATTACTACCCCTCTTAGAGAGGTCTTGTAGCCCTTTTTTTTCACTCTCTTTTTCTCTCTCTCTCTATCCTTCTCTGCTTTCCTTTTTTTTTATTCACATCTTTCTTTTTCTTTTCTTTTTATTTTATGCCAGTGTTTACTTTTTCATTATTTCAATAAAAATTTACGAAACATTTAAAAAATAAATAAAAAATACCAGGACTTTATCTCTCTACTTTTATAAAGAGGCTAATGGACCAATTTGCCCCGATTTTAAAAAAATATTAAAAATTTATTTATCTCATCTATCTTTTTTCTAACGGTTTCTTTGTTCCGCTCATATTATCTCTTTCAAAAACCCAACACATTCTTTCTTCCTCTCTATTTTCTATCTCTAAAAATCCAACTCATTGTTTTCTTCCCACACATCCTCCCTCTAAAGGCCAGCTAATTATCCCCTTTTCTCACATTCTCTTTAAAAATATTGCACATTTTTTGCGTCCTCTTATTTTCTTTCTTTAAAACCAAAACTATGAAAGAAGAAGAGAGAGGAGCAAGTGAAGAAGAAAAAATTATATCATACATTTTGAAATCCTAAAAATGTGAATGCGAATTATCTCCCTTCTTTGATTCTCTTCTTTAGCGATGTTTGGTCTATGTGAAAATATTCTTGTGAAAATATTTTCATATGCAAGAACTTCTCTTTATGATTCGGTGTAGTTTTTTTTATCAATAGTCCCAAGTGTATTTCTTCGTACCAATTGACATCCAATTGATATTAAAAAAGTCTCAACTCTAATTCCACAGGGAATTCTTTCATATGAAAATATTTTTACACACATACTAAATGCATTCTAAATTTTTTCTATTTTTCTTATTTGAATTTAGTTTTAGAGAGAAAATGGGAGGGTATCAAGAAAGGGGTTGGGTTCTAAGGGAGAATGCGAAAGTGGATTTGGTGTTTAGAGAGGATGTAAGAGGAATGAATAACGAGTTATAGTGTTAGCGAGAGAATGGGAGAGAAAGAAAAAACTTAAAAATTGGGTTTTTAGGTAGAGATTGTGGAAGGAAGGGGGAGGCGCAGGAAAAAACGAATGTATTATACAAGGAAAAGTTTATACAAGGTCTCAACCATTCTTTTTTTCCCTTTTTCGGAACATTTATATAAGGTGTCCATCTAAATATGGTGCACCTGAAAAAACTTTATGAAATTGTTATTTCGATGTTGAAAAATCCTACAAATTGATCATCTAAACCTTGAAATGTATCTATTTGAAAAAAAAAAAAAAAAAAGATTTCTAGTTGTAAAAATAGTGCATCTTGTCCGTCCATTTGCTTAAAAAAATTAGTATTATAAAGGAAAAATTAAAAAAAAACACTCTAAAATGAACTATCTATGCAACTTACCCCACTCCAATCTTTTCTCACATTTTTTTTCTCCAAACAACCTTTCCACACAAAAAACCCCCAAGGTAAAAAGTTCTTATTTTTTGGACAAAAATGCCCTTCCCGTACAAACCAAATCAATTCGCGGATCCCAAGTAGAGTAGTGCCGGAGCGCAGTATACTACTGTTGGAGTGGAATGTCAAGAAGCAATGTCGGAGTGTGGTGCTACATTGCAGGAGCGTTGTGGCTCTAAAGACTTCATTACAGGAGAGAACTGCCAGAGTGCGTATTTTCACTGCCGGAGCACAGTGGGTCACACAAAGCACTGCCGGAGTACATTGTGACTGCCGGAGCACGCATTCAGACTGTCGGAGCGTAGTCCTCCATTGCCAGAGCGTTGTGGGTCAGAAAAAGTACTGCTGAAGCGTACATTGGGATTGCCGAAGTGCATCTTTACTGTGGGAAACAGGAGAGAGAAGGCTGTGTGAAAAGAAACGAGGGTACTTTAGTTCTATTTCATGTTACTTTGGGTTGGGGGGATTTGCGAGAAAATGTAGTTTGGGGGGGAAAAGTGTGAGAAAGATAGGGGTGGGGGTAAGTTTCATAGATATTTCATTTTAGGGTGTTTTTTTATAATTTTTCCTATTATAAATATGTTTGTTCTACCCAATTTTTGGAGCATTAAACGTTACAATTAGATGTGAAAATATATAGAATACAAGTTTACTTATAATAAGAATAGAAACAAGAAAGTAACTTATATTAGTGGCCAAAAAAACCCTAAAATAGGTTATTTTTGATGTCTTGGGTCAATAATCCAGGAGAATAAAGAGATTGAGGACGATATCACACATAGAATTATGGTTGGTATATGAAGTAGATATATATAACTGGAATTTTATATGATCACCTCATACCAATGAAACTGAATCAAAAGTTTTATACGTTGTTATAAGACTAGCCATACTTTACAGAGAGCGATAACAGAAGAAAGGATAAAATCCAAAACGAATATATTTAAGGAAATTTGGATGTGGTTTCAATAGGTGATAAAATGAGAAAAAATAGATTTAAGGTAAACCTAATACAACATTAGTTAAGATATGCAATTTAGTTTTAGTGGAAGGTTCTAAAAGGGACAAGGAGAAACCCAAAAAGGCCGATGAAATTAGTGAGAGAAGATATGGTAACATGTGGTTTTATTGACGGTATGGCTCTTGATAGAGTAAAATGACCAAACAAGATTAATATAACTGACTCTAAATAGTTAGAATAAGACTCAGATAATGATAATGATAACGGTGGTGAGATGTGAAAATAAATTCTTAAACCATCGTAATTATTTGTGGCATCCAAATTGCATCTTCTAGCAATATTTAAAGGTGGATACTTTGATTGTTGAAAGTTCATACCTCATAAAAATTACTGAGAAAAAAAAGACCTTAGATTTTGTCTCTAAAGGAGAGGGGTGAAACAATCAATTTATCCTTCAACAGAAAGTAGAAGAGCCAAAGCCAAAAATAAAATTTTAAAGAGTGTATAAGGTTGCAACCTTAAACAATAAATAAAAAACACATCTCCAAATTTTATCATAAGATGTAATTTTGGTGTAAAAAATTATTAAGATGGTATGCGAATCTATTTTCGTCATTAATTATGAAAATTCAAACTAAAAAAAGGTCAAATCAAGTAAATCTATAAACAAATAAAAAAAATTGAAAAAAGACGGTCAAGATAATATGTTGCAAGATATATTATTTATAATATTCAATGTTTTTCATATTTATATATCTTGATGTCAAGATTATCAATTAGAGAATTTTTCAAACATCAAAATAGCCATTGCGAATGAATTTTTGAGGTGCATCTTAATTTTACCTATTAGTGTTGCAATCTTATATATATATTTTTTTCAATTTTAAAAAGTCCTTGAAAACTACATCTTGTAAGAATTTTTTCATAAAAATCCAATAACTAAGTATTAGCTCTATTTTAAAAAAACAAAAATTTCTTTCCCCGAGAGAGAGTGAGAGGGACGAGACACCACAGAGGACAGAGACGCCAGGTAAAGAGATACCCAGGTATCATTTCCTAGAGAGAGAATGCGAGAGAGAGAGAGAAAGAAAGACGAAAATATCATTTTCCATAGAGAAATCCAAATTATCATTCTCTAGAGGGAAAGATTTTATATAAAGTGTCAATTTGTATCGTACAAGTAAAGTGAACCTAAAAAATCTATTAAATTTTTTTATTATTATATTAAAAAATTTTAAATTGATCATCTCCAACTCCACCTCGACATTCATACAGAAAAAAAAAGAAAAGCTTTTAATCTTAAAAAATAGTTCATCTTTTAATACATTATTTATACTATTTATTTTTAATATTTTCGAGTGTTTATAAATATGCTAGATGGTGATCATTTTTGAAACTTTAATTTTCATAATTGTCGGATTTTCGTATGGTCTCAAAGCTTTGCACTTGCAGCACCATAATTGCATTTTCCGCTTAGTTTTGAGGTGAACACCGTATACAAAGATCACGTATAGAACCCAAACAAGAAACCCAAAGAGGGACGGAAATATCATTTTCTAGAGAGAGAAACCCAGATTTTATTATTTTCTAGAGAGAGAAACCCAAATTATCATTTTCCCTGAAAGAGACCCAAACCCGACTCTCATTTCCCATCTGAAGATATAAAACTCCTCAAGTAAGACCAGAGGCCATGGAGCCGTTGAGGAACTGAGACTGAGAGAGCAGAAGCCATAATCTTAGCGATGGCGATCGTTCCGTCCACCTACTTTGAAAACACCATCACCATGATTTCATCATCGGCTAGTTTCAGTGCCCTCTCCAACAAGAGGCCAAGTCTCTCTCCTTCGACTCTCTTTTCTCACCCTTCGATCTTCATTCCGTCCTACTCTACCAAGGTCAGTCTCTCTCTCTCTCTCTCTCTAGATTTTGCATCAGTTACCAATGCCCCATCTTCTGCATGGATACCTCTGAATGTTTCTGGGGTACGTGTCTCTCGCTTTATTTCTATCTCCATCATTCTCTCTGCTCCTATGAAACTGAATCTCCATCTATTTCTTTATGTTCCTATGAAACTGAAATTGGGTTTTTGCTTTCAGATTCATTTTTGAAATCCTTTCTCTTCTCAACCCTTTAAATCTGATGTTTTTTTTTGTTTTCTCTATCTCCCCTTCCCCTCCATTGATACCTTTCAATACTGGAGTTCTCTCTCTATACTTTGAAAATTGATTTATACCTTTCAATACTGGAGCTCTCTCTCCATACCTTGAAAATTGAGAATACTATAGCGTGCTTTACCTTGAAAATTGAGAATACTATAGAGTGCTTTACCTTGAAAATTGAGAATACTATAGAGTGCCTGGAACGTGCATTTTTTTGAGGTTTTCCTGCACGCTCCAGAAGATCAAAATATATGCTCCGAATTGTTTTTTTGGTTCCACAGTTCCTGTTTATGACTTTGGTTTTTGGCGTTTGCACAAAGAATTGTGGGTAATGCTATGGTTGATATCATCAATTTCACTATTCATTGCTCAAATTTCATCTTTTCTCGATTAATATGTCAAGTTTTTTTTTTTTTTTAAATTGTGTGAGATGCGTGTATTGGTTGTTCTACAATCAAGTTTTTTTTTATTCTATTTTAATTTGAGAATTTAGCATCCATTCATTGAAGGGAAGATATGGATGTACATAAAATTAGAATTTTGCTAATGCAAGCTTTTAGTTTTTATTTTGATATTCTAGTTGACAAAGATTGGAGATGGAAATGCAGTATTGTGACTCTTTATCGAATCTAAATGGGTTTGTCTTAGTTTACCACAACAGTTGCCTCAATATAGCTTGATACCCAGGCTAGTAGTGTACAATGTCGATAAAAATTTTCATCTCCATCATAACAGGCATTTAGAAACACTGCACTATTTCTATCATGTGTTCTTTGGGTAGTTTAATCATGCTATGGTGTTGTTTTTCATCCCCTTCTCCCTATAACGTTTAACGTTCAATTGTATTTGTCTGTCACTTGTCATCTGTGTCGCATGGGCATGGCACAGGTGTCAATGTGTCAGTGTCTTGTACCATGGAGAAGAGGATTCTGTAACACAGCAATATTATGAAGAACCAGCCAAATCCAACAACATTTTGCTATTATTTCAATTCACGATGAGTAGAAGGAATGATCACTTATACCTTAACTGGCTGAATCCTTTGATATTTCCAAGGTTCCATATATTTTTTCAAAGTTCACATGTGTCTACTCAAAACAAAAAAGAATATCAAATGTCTAAAATGATGTAATCAATGGTTACTAAAAATGAAGAATCCAGAAGAGTTTATGCCAGTATGTGTTTTGGTATGTGTTGGACACAGGTATGGCACCTAACCAAAAGAATCCATGTAACATAGCTTAGCATGATTTGGTTCTTGAGTGTTGGAATTAGGAACACTATATCATGTAGCAAATAATGTTGTGACACATGATTGTTTTCCTCAACTAGGAAGATGCCACCTATGTCTCTCTTAGAGTAGTTTTTAAATGGCTGGATGTTATAGTTTGAAAATTTCTTTTTTATTTTATAGCAGAGCTCATGCTTGTATCATGATTTACTGGTGGATGTGCATACCTATCTGTGCAAGTATCATCTTATGGGGATGTTTGATAAAGGTTCGGGATGGGGGAAGATTTAGTTTTTAGGAGCCTCGTAAGGCTGTGAACGTGTCGATCGGATAATAAGTAACAAATAGTAGTTTTAACACCCTGGTGTTTGGCTTCAACAGTAATAAAGACAGTTTATCAGATGAAGGGTTGGATTGTTGGTGTTTTTTTACTAGTGGGGAAAGTGATATTGGGGAAGAGTTTATGTCCCTTACAAAATAGATATGATAGGTATCTGGATTACTAGGATGTGCCCGATCAGATTTGTCTATTGAAGTTTCTTTGGAGATAGCAACCAATTTACCCCACATTCCTTTTTCGTGGTATGCTTTAGTCCCTCCTAAAATGACTGCTTTTTTGTTGGTTTGCCACCATGAATAATATTTTCAATGGGAACTATTTACAAAAAGAGGGCTCACACTATTTTAATTTTCATGTTCTTCTCTATGTGAAGAGCAAGTCGAAGAGCAGTTTCTGATATATTGTGTGTTTTTGTGGGAGCATGTTTCTAGTCTTGGGGTTTTATCGAGGTCCTGAGTGAATGTGGTGATGGCTCCCAAACTTCTGAGTTTCCTTGGTGATCATGATTTCTGTTTAAAGGGGGGTTATGAGTTTGTGTTCCTTTGTTGCTATTATTTTTGGTGGTTTTTTAAGTATAGACATGGTCATTCTCGAAAAAAGAAACACGAGGAAAGATGAGATATAGTAGGATCACGTGTAGTCAACATTAGTTGATCAGTGGCAGAAGATAAGCGGTATCAGCAAGTGTGACCCAAGTTGAAAGCTGTATCCGTAGAAAACTGAAACTAGTGAGGAGGTGTCATAATATGCATGGAGCCTCTACCCTCACCCTCTATACGGAAGGTGTCTACTTCTGCATTAGTTGTGTCCCTTCTCTAATTAGGCACAAGGAGGCTAATATGGAGACTGGTTTGTTTGCAAGTTCAAATGTCAATCATTATTCTCTTTCATAAACCTCAAGCAGTCATACTCTAATTCCAGTGAGGTATTTGCTCTGGTGTTAGTACAATTACATCATGACGTCTGGGGTGGTTTGAGGAAAACCAAATTAAGAAGAGACCATTTTCTGCTTTTGATAGGTATTAAGAAGAACAGAAGTTGAGTATGTGGGTATGTTACTTACAAATACAATTGTGTGCATTATATGTATTTACATATGTTACATATGTAAAGGCAATACAGATGTTGATTTTATCGGCTCTGCAGCTTCCCCTTTCCCAATCCTGGAGCTTCCACCTCCAACCCATGCAACTATACTCGCCTGGCATAGCGAATTAAAAATGTGATGAGAGTTTCTAATGTTGAAGTGTTTATGCTTGATTAATATGCAAAGAACCTGCAACATAGGAAGAAGTGTTCTTGCTCTGCTTGTGCCGATGAGTAATGATACAGTTATAACATAAATGCAAAAGAATAGACCTTTGGAGAAATGAAGACATGAATGCAAACTTTAACATGCCTAAGGATTGTGGCAGTCGTGACTTGGTTTTTCTATTTCAGTTGCTTTTTGTAAATTAAATAAAAATTTGAAGTGAGATTTTGAAAAAAAAAAAAAACAATTTTTGAAGTGTAGCTTGCATTATCGTTGTTTATGTGAATGTGCAGCCATGACAAAATGATTACAATTGCATTAGGTTAAAGCATTTGTTACTCCCCTCATCTTTATTCATCTACCACTCTGGCCTTCTAAATGTTTCCCATACCCTAAATCTTTGACATGATTGACTGCACCCTCCCCCTCTCTCTCTCCTC